TGCAATAAATTATGCTCGACCTGGATAGATGGGAGGTAATTAGCTATTCTATACAACAAATGAAGTAAATAAAGTAAAGTGAATTAGGTAAATCAAAATATAATCCAGCGTGAATCAAATCCGGTAAGGAAATGAACATTAATATGTACTAGTTAGGAAAGATTTCGTCGTAAAAATCATTCGAAAAAGTAGTTGATAGAAAAAACATTAAACAGCATCATGCTAAATAATAAAAAAGGAAACAAAAGGGAGGATTACCTTCCTTGGATGAGTTGGAAAATTCATTAGCCCCTGCTATTCTTGAAGGACTTATCTCGTCAGAGGTCCTCCTATCAGTTCTCCTTGGCCTAGATCGTTTTACGTCATGAGTTCCCTCTGTGTTACCGACACGAATAATATTTGAATCCAAAGCCATTTTGGAGGACTCTTCGGGGCTAGGGCAGGACGGATAGTCATCACCAACTTCGGGACTGGCTTCCAAGGGGACGACAAAACGAAGAGGTTCGAAAATACTAAAAAAACGTGTAATTTTACAAAGACCCAGAGGTTGCTGTTGTAGTGCGGAATTATTTAACTTATATTGGGATCGCAAATATTGGAATGATTGATACTGTAAGGAAGAGGTCTGACAGGAGAATGGAGCAGAGAATTGAGTGCGAGAAAGCCGAAAAACAGGAGGCAAGTGAATTTTGCCTAGCCCAGTCTCAAGGGCTACCCAGCAACGCAACTCCTCAGCCAAAAGGAGCTGATGCAAGCGATGCAGTATGGAAGGAAGGCATACGGCTTTGCGCCAAACTGGAAAACAAATTTTAAAGATATAATTATTTTGTGATTACCAAGGAAGCTGAAAAGATACGATTGGAGCAAAGCAAACTTTTGAAGTGCATAATGCAATCATAGCCCGTTTATTTCATATGCATGTGAAAACTAACATAATTTATTCACATATAATCTTATTCCATTAACAAAATTAAGTATGTGGTTGCATTTTTATTCCTTATTTTTGTAATAATGTAATAATACCTTACATTCAAGGTATTTCCTTGCCGCAGGTGCCCTAGCATTCCTCTATAGAAGTGTATTCATTTTCCACTTCTCAATTTCTCCTCTGTTTACACAAACGTTAAGCGATTCACTAAGTCTGGCCTTACGACTTTCTGTGGGATCCTTTAGTAAAAGTCTGTAAGTTTCTGAGTCATTTAAATGAACCATCATTTTTTCTATATAACTTAACCTATCCATGGTGAGCACTGCACCATCTTTATCTGCCTTCAAAACAAACGAATCATTTTGGTGCAAATATCTAAAAACTTTATTCAAATCATACGATTTATTTGGAATTACTTCATCAAAATGAGGAATCATTTCTCTTTCTATAATATTCTTAGTCTCTTCTGGCAGCTTGTCCGTTAAGTTAATTAACTCAACCAGTATATCCATATAATGATTTTGCTCATTTGGTAATGCAAAGTTTAAATCCCTTTCAAAGACGAGCGTAACATTAGCATTTTAGATATACTGGATAAATTAATTACTTTATTTTTGCTAGAAAGAATATTGCTAATTTAAACTACTTTCTTATTGTTTCGACGATTCCATAGGCTGATTTTGATGCCCAAATTCCTTAATTTCTTATCATGTCGGGATCTATGGATCTTATCCATCCTATCCGCCAAGCTGTCCGCCATTTTCTGCAATTTAAGAAAGTCTTCTTGAGAAAATAGCCGAAAAAGGGATAGTCTAGTTCCTGTTTGGGTTCTAATAAGGTCATGTATTAACCAAACCACCTGATACAAGGTCCAGTTTCCTATTACTGGAAATAGGTGAATCCTGGCGTCAATGAATACTCCAGCCTCGCTAAGTAGGCCTCCAAAAATCAGGATGCTCAATCTAGATGGGAGACTAAATGGAGGCTAAAGAGCCCGAGAAATTCGCATGATCAAGCCTTTGCTTAATTGACCAGGTCTATCATCAAACACATCTATTGTTAGTTAGCTGGTTCTAGTCTATATCACACCCAGAGTGGCAAGTCTATGACGTCTTATGCCCTAGTCTCTTTTGAGCTAACCCATAAATGTTGTGGTTCTACTTGTTTTGATTAGGTCCAATGTAATAAGGTCGTACAACCTTTTTAAGGGACAGAAAATCAACAAAATAATTAAGAGAAGTATGAATCGCTAAATAACTGACCCGATGCCGGTAGGGGATGCCTGTAACAGAGCTCTGGGATCAGCAATTGTTTGCGATGTAAATTTTCACGCGTTATTCCATTATTCAAATAGCCTCCGCTACCCGACGGAGTCCGGTTGGGAGCAGGAAGGTACACGCCACGTTGATTAATATGTCGCGGCACCAGTAGGCAGAGTCGACGTACCGTATGATCGGCATCGAGCAAGGGCTGGGATGGACATGTCAGGATTACATTATACTTGGCCTGGTAGTAGTCAGCAAAAGAAATGTACTGTTTACAAGGGAAAGAGGTCTGTGGGCTGAGATCGTATCTAGAAAAGACGTAGATTGAAGTAAAATAGGTCTACGGAAAATCATATAAAGTAATATAGCTAGCAGCAAACAAGATAGTAAAATGTATAAGACATATTCTAGCAGGACTTTGCACAAAAAGTTTAAAGGTCCATTTTGATTTATACAAAAATCACAGTTAATCCGACCATTGTCAATATTGTTTAGATCTAAAGATATTAAACGGGGAGAATCAAGGTAATTATCTATTATAAGTAAGATTATTTCTATTGTTTTCAAAATGACCCGTTTGATGATGGATCTAGAAAGAGCACGGGAATCAGAAGGGTAGTATGTAATGACACAAAAGATAAAAGGCATTATTATACGAAATAAACATCCTAAAATTTCCCAAATTAGATTAATCCGATTGGGAATACCTCGTGACTATTCAGAAATTTCGACACATCTAGAAAAATCTGAGACCCGTATGAAAGTGAAAGACAAAGATGGTATTCAAAGAAATAAATAATAATTGTTCGTTTATGCTATTTTCTAGAGTCGCTTTCATTATTTATGAAGACCAGGTTGTTATCTTAGTTAATGATACTGTACATTAAGGCATTTTATGTAAGTCAAAATCATAGACCTATTTATAAAATACTAAGTACGAATTAGCAGCCTCTCAAAATGTAACAACATCTAGTAAATGCTGGGGAGACAATTTTGCATAAAATAAGACATCAAAAATCGAAACCAGTTAAACACAGAATAAATCAATTGATGACATAAGAGATCATGAAGGCGTTAACAAGATTCATCAACTCAATGATAAAAACAGCATATTTTCATATTTATTTGTCACAGATGAACCGATATGTTCAGATTTTATGAATTTTAGAAGTCCATAAAAGAATTTGTAGGAAATAATTAGGATTTTACCATTGGAACCAAGATCGATCATTTGATGGCTACATTGTATACTGAACATAATTAAGAGAAGAATCGAAGGCAATGTTAATATTATTAAACCAAATTAATAAAAAAAAAATACAAAATAGGATTAGATTAGAAGTCACAGATAATGTTTTTGT